GTGTTGGAACATTCACAACTTCTGAAGGCAATGGGTTCCAATGATTAAATGTTCTGTCAGGAAATACCTCCTCAGTTCTAAGTTGCTTCTCTCCTTGATTAGTTCTCACCCATTGCTTCTTGTCCTGCCTTCAGGTGCTTTGGAGAATAGCTTGACTCCCTCTTCTTTGGGGCAACCCCTGAGATATAGGAACACTGCTATCATGTCACCCCATGAGAACCCAAATGAGGACCCAAGTTATTGGGGGCAATATGCTGATTCTGTAAACTGCTTAGAGAGGGCTGTAAAACACTGTGAACTGGTATATAAGTCTAAGTGATATTGCTATTGTTCTTGCTATTGCTATTGCGTCCTTCCTTACCATTCTTATGGCATTTAACATGGCTAATGATTATGCAAGAAGCACATTAGAATCTTGCTAAAATATATAAATTGCAATTTAATTTATCACCATATGACTCATAAGATTGGATGTTTCTAATCACAGATGTGTTCTCATCTTTTATATTATTCAAAATAAAAAAAATATTAAAAGTGCATTTTTAAAAATGCATTATTTTTTTCCAGAAAGAATGAAGGGGCAAGTACAAATCCTGCGATATCAGAGAAGCTAAAAGGATTAAATTTCCCTTTCACCCTGAGAAGATGGAGTTGATTTTCCTAAGTCGTTTACAGTTTAGCATTCCAAAAACCTGCTGAATTGGCATGGACAGATGCAGGGAAAATATGTATGTGTTTATCTTTTGTGTAAACATGCACATTATCCAACAGAGAATTTATATTCCAAATTTCATTCCATCGCTATTGTGAAAATGCTGCAACTCAGAAGATGTTCTGATAAACTGAACAAAGCTTTAAGTCTTTTGATGGTAAAGTTGTGATTGAAAGACTTTTCAAATTGCACTGCTTAGATTAGTATTTTACAGTTTTCATAATACAGAGATCTTTACTGTAGGAGTTTGCAGAAACCACCTCGCTTGATTAGGACTAAACCAGTATGGATTGATGCCAAAGTAATCTAACCTAGGTACTGATAATGGTAGATAGCCGGATAATGAAAGGTTTGCAAGCAAAGAACCAAGCTCAGAGTGTATTAGAAACTCCATAAAAAGGTAAAGGTTCCCCCCTCATGTATGTGCTAGTTGTTCCTGACTCTAGGGGGCGGTGCTCATCTCCGTTTCAAAGCTGAAGAGCTAGCGCTGCCCGAAGACGTCTCCGTGATCATGTGGCTGGCATGACTAAACACCAAAGACGCAGGGAACGTTGTTACCTTCCCACCAAAGTGGTCCCTATTTTTCTACTTGCATTTTTACATGCTTTTGAACTGCTAGGTTGGCAGAAGCTTGGACAAGTAACGGGAGCTCACTCCATTATGCGATGCTAGGGACTCGAACTGCCAGACCTTTCTGATCGACAAGCTCAGCATCTTACCCACTCCATAGTCCAAACTTATTTGAAGGATGAAACAGAAGAAAAAATAGAAGCAAATTTGGAAAAAAATGAGGTCTTTTCTCTCAGAATCTACCATGAGGGAAACATAGAGTGGGATGTCTATGGGTATTCTCAGTCATCCAAGTCATGGTTGTCCCAAAGGTGCTTTTTTCAAGAGGCACTTTTGACTTTCTTGTTTTTAGGACATTTCACTTCTCATCCAAGAAGTTTCTTCAGCTCTGAGTGAATGGGATAAAATTTGAAATAGAGTGGAATGAAATTTGCAGCAAGTTACACTATTATAGCTACACTATTATAAACTGGGACAATGGTATAGTAATTAAAACTGGAGATTTCAGACCATGGACCGCTAAAATATATTTAGTTGTAAAAGTTGCAATTGTCGCTTTGGCAACAGTTTTGTGGGTGATTATATTCTGTTTTGCCAGATTTCTGGTAAGGCACATTGAGGGGACAAAATGAAGGGATATTTTAATGGATAACAATGTGTCTTCTTGTGAAGCTGATTGTAAGGAGATAAAGTGGAAGAGTAAGGGATTAATGCACTGGTCTTTTCTGAACAATAAGTTAGTTATTAGGCCAAGATAATTAAGCATTTGAGCAACAGTGAGCTTGATCAACGTTGAGGTAGAACAAATGGTAAAACTGAGGACCTTTCTGAAACCCGCAAACTATATTTTCTCCAAGATTTTATGATGAAGAGAATAAGTGGTGATCAAATCACAGATTCTGTTCTCATTGGAATGAGCCATGAGCCTTGGTAGCACAGTCGTTAGAGTGCCTTACTGCAGGCTACTTCTGCTGACTGCCAGCTGACTGCAATTTGGCAGTTCGAATCTCACCAGATTTCAAGGTTGACTTAGCCTTCCATCCTTTCGAGGTTGGTAAAATGAGGACCCAGATAGTTGGAGGCAAGAGGCTCTCTGTAAACTGCTTAGAGAAGGCTGGAAAGACCGTAAAGTGGTATATAAGTCTAAGTGCTATTGCTATTAGTCACTGAATTCAGTACTGGTAGTCCTTGACTTATGATCATAAATGGGACCAAAAGTTCTGTTGTTAAGTGTGTCATGCCTTTACAATCTTTTTGCCATGATTGTTAAACGAATCATGGCAGATATTAAGTAATCACGCAATCATTAAATGAATCTGGCTCCCCCACTGGCTTTGCTTGTTGGAAGCTGGGTGGGAAGGTTGCAGATAATGATCACATGACCCTGGGATGCAGCATCCATGAATACATGTCAGTTGGCAAGCACCCAAGTTTTGATCATGTGACCGTGGGCATGTTGTGACAGTCATAAGTGTGAGGGCTAGTTGTTTTTCAGTGCTATTGTAACTTCAAAGAATCTCTAAATGAATGGTTGTGGGTCAAAGACTATCAGTACTTCCATCCCTTCCACAATACTTTTACACACATTTTTGCATATTTTACATACATTATGTATGTACATTTTGCATTACATTATGAAATTTGTTTTAATTTTCACACAACAGTTATTGTGCGATATTTTATGGTCAGCAGAGCTCTGGAGAAACAGATTAGGAACTGAACTTTGTGAAAACCCAGAAAAGAGTCCATTCATTCCATCTTGCAAAAAAGGAAATCCAACCTGAATCATCTTGCTGCATCTCATAAAACAAGTTTTGATCACATCTGATGTGCATTCTTAATTGTTGCTACAATGACAAATGCAAGTCTTGCAGTAAACATGGAGATCTAATAAACCGTCACCTGTTAATAATCAGTTCATGAGAAGAGGAAACTTTGCCCAAGAAGCTCTCATATCAAGTCAAAGAACAATAGCCATTGTCTCCAAAGCGACATTATAAAGTGATAATCTATGTTTGTGTACAGCAACTACACAAACACAAGGATAGGAATATAGCAGCAAGCACCAGAGGGGAGTACCCCGTTCTCCCATACCTCAAAAAAGAAAGAAGTAACTGAGAATGTGTATATATAACTTAAGGAACACAGAAGCATAAATGTAAAGAATCTTAACAGCCCAGTCAAAGGCAGGGGTGTAATATAACATTGAGCCTATATAGGGTTGAATCTTAGAAGCAGAAAAAATAATGGACAGAATGAAATATAATGAGAAATCATGTGGTTGGCTGACTGTCTATGTTCCTGAATAGGGATGTAAATTTTTTGCTAGTGATTTCACATGCTGCAAGCAGATGAAGATATTTCAGCTAGCTAATGTCTATTTACATTTGCGTTTTCCTGTTCATTGAACTAGTGTCTTACTCAGGCCTGGTGAATTAGATTTCCTTCTTCAGGACAATTGTTTCTCCTTCCTTCCTTCCTTCCTTCCTTCCTTTTCTTGAACGGGTAGATGTTATCCTACTAATGTCTGCTGCAGAACTCACCAAGGTGATGTATATAAACTCATTTCATGCTTCCAGTTCTCATATTGATTTGAATTTAAATAAGTTAGATTTTGAGAAATGTGCAAAGTTCTTACTTGTAGTAATTTTAAAAAGATGGTTTTCACACTAGGACAAAGTGGTTGCATGCTGAAGTACTGTTAGAAGGATTAAAATGTAATCCTATGAGCATATATGCATGAGTAAATCCTGAAAAACACAGGTATGACCTGGTTCTAAAAACATACATGGGATCTGATAAAGTGTTTCAAATTAATCAATTTTATTGTAATAGATAACTTGTTTTTGTTCTCTTGTTTTGCTGAAAGGAATAAAATGGTAACATCAACACTGTTTCAGCACTTGTCTTTCTGGCTTGCTGAATTTAAATATCCGTGTACTCAATTTTAACACTTCTGGTTTCCAATTTTGACACCTTGCAGTTATGTTTTAAAGCAACTTGTCACAGCACAATCTGATACATGCTTATTCTTACAAATCCCACTGTATTCACTGGAGTATATTTCATGGTAAGTATATTTAGAATTACAGCCTCAGAAGATTAAGTTACAATGCTGGGTTTTGTTCTTACTCAGATATTTGTTTCCCAGTTAGATATTGGAGGGAAAAATGAAACAGAAGCAAAAGAGGCAGGGAAAATATACTGCATTGTCTATTAAATCTTGATTTATGCTGTTCCAAATTCAGGCTCCACCAGGTATTGAGAACATTGTAGGAGAGAACTATGTTAGTCTATGAGAGTAAAACATCACAAGGAATTCTAGGAGCATTTCCCCCATTAATTAAACAAAATTAATTTCCATTAATTTTGTGAGCTGCAGATATTTATAAATGCTGCAGAAGCCTTTGGTTGCTTTCTCATCAGCTTCACTGGTGAGGCCTACGTTTAAGTAAGATTGCTTTCTTTTCTGATGTCCTAACAAGATTCTATTCAGTTTCATGGCAGACCTCTTCATTTGAATTTGCAGTAAAGGAAGAGAAACTCTTGAAACGGAGTATCACCAAAGAGGACACTATACTGTTGTAATAATCCTATTTGACAGGATGCAAGAAGGATAGTCTTCACAGTTCATCTTCATTTGTTCTCCATGCCTTGGACAGAACAAGCTGAAGCTCGCGGTGGAGCTGAAAGCCTGCATGTTGGACTTCTCTGGAAATGACAGCTGATCTATCACCGTCAGTCTCTTCTGGCATCTGAGCTTGAGAGATCCATACATCTGGAACAACAAAGGTAGGGGGCAGAATAAACAAATGGGTGGAAGCAGCAATTCTATGGCCTTGGAGAGCCTTCATTTAAGAACAACAGCATTTAACTGTTTGACAGCTTTCTGACTCACTGTAATAGGATGCAGCCATTCCACTGGCTTTGCAGGTCCCTGGAAACGTGCAAAGAAGCTTCTTGGGCTTGGAGCTAAATGTATTTAGCTGACCTTCCAAAAAAACTGAAGCAAGACAGTGAGTTTGTCTTAGGGACTTTCCTAGGAGTGCTTTTTAAAAGCATAATAATTTCACATTTGCTATGGAGGTTCTCTTTTTTTTTTTTCCTTTTGGTTGTTGCTGACTTTTGGTATAAGAAGAATTTCATGGCCCAGCTCAGCCCATAATCTCCTGGAGAAATGCAGCGACCCCCTGATGCTCATAGCAACAGTGTTGGTTTTCAACTGTCAATGCTTCATATTTTCTTAACAAATAGTGTCTCTCTCACAATATATTATTGGTGAAATTAACAGATGTGTATCTCACTACTGAAGCTGGTTAAAGTGCTAGCAATCTTCAAGTGAAATGAGTATAATTATCAAATAATGTTAAAATAAATGGGAAAGAAAGCAGTGGGATGAATTTGTTGAAAGTAACATGCTTTTTTATGAATAAAGTTTGGGGGGAGAGGTAGGGTTTCAGTCACATGAGCATGGCTGCCAGCTTGGTTTGTTTGATCTCCCTGCAAATGCTCCTTTTGATGGAGGTGACTTGACTGAGAGGCTGCCACAAAGAAGAGGGGGTCAACCTGTTTTCCAAAGCACCAGAAGGAAAGACAAGAAACGATGGATGAAAACTAATCAAGGAGAGACGTAATCTGGAATTAAGGAGAAACTTCCTAACAATGAGACCAATTAACCCAGTGGAACATCTTATCTTCAAAAGTTGTGGGGGCTTCATCACTGGAGGTTTTCAAGGAAAGATTGTACAGCCACTTGTCTGGAATGGTATAAGGTCTCCTGCTTGAGTAGGTGGTTGGACTAGAAGATGTTTAAGGTCCCTTCCAGCTCTATTCTGATTGATTGTTTGAGTTCAATGGAACTTACAAATAAGTACATATAAGATAGTTGAGTCAGCAAATTTTTAAAACCAAGCTGGTGAATATTTGACTCTCCAAATATTTTTGAACCACTGTTCCTAGCATCTCTTACAGTTATGCTGGCTTTGGCTGTTGGAACTTGTAGCTCATCTTCACTTGGAAAAGCATAGTATTCCCAACTCCTATTGATATTTTCCTGTTGCATAGGATCACGTATGAACTGTTGGGAAGAAGAGCAGGCCAGATCTTGAAGTAAAATACTGAATCTATTCATAAACCATTGTTGGAGATCAATATTGTCCTTCAATGAATGAGTCTGCCTGCTTCTGCCTTTTTTTCCATCCCAGAACAATTACAGACACCATTCTGTAAGTAATATACAAGTGTGTAAACAAATGCTCATTTCAGAATGGCGACTATCAGAGGTGGTATTCAGCAGGTTCTGACCAGTTCTGGGGAACCGGTAGCAGAAATTTTGAGTAGTTCAGAGAACCGGCAAATACCACCTCTGACTGGCTCCGCCCCCCCATCTATTCTCTGCCTCCCAAGTCCCAGCTGATTGGCTGGGTCTTCTTTTGTTGCCCTGCACAGGAGAATGGAGCTAGAAAGCAGGTTAGGAGACGGAATTGAATTTTGCAGTATCCTTCCCCTGCCACACCCACAATGCTACACCCGCCATGCCCACAGAACTGGTAGTAAAAAATTTTGAATCCTACCACTGGTGACTATGGTAGAAAAAACAGTGAGTAAAGGAGAATATTAAAAAGATAGTATACTCAAGGGCCAAGGGAGAGAAATCAATTCCCCCAGGTCTAATTCGTGTCTTTTAAACTTGGGCCAAAAATTCAGTCTGTCACTGATAGTCTAGTTGAAGTAAGCAGACCTCTAAAAATATTTTCTTAATTTTTATTCCAACTTTCCCTTTTTTACACAAAAGTTTCCATGTGTCCTCTCATTCTTTAGATTTTAAAGACAGATTTCCTTTGGTGATTCAATATCCAGATGGAGTATAAGCTGATTGCTGACTATTTAGGAGTCACCCCTTGGCTGGGATTTTCAATAAAAGAGGGAGCCGTGGGTTTTTCCTATGACATCAGAAAAAAAACCTCGTTCCTATTGTTGCATCTCTCATTCATACATAGTGACTGGTTTCCCAATGCACGCTAAACCATGGTGCATTGAATAAACCGGTTAACTGGATTCACACCACAGCATCCAGAATCAAATCACATAGTCATTTAGCATGATATATAAAACTGAATCCCAGTGTTCTACATTTTATAGCAGAGGTCTCCAAACTTGGCAACTTTAAGACTTGTGGACTTCAACTCCCAGAATTCCTCAGCCAGCACAGCATAGCTGGGGAGTTGAATCCACAAGTCTTAAAGTTGCCAAGTTTGGGGACCCCGTTTTATAGTTTATTGAACAGGTTTAAGATTTGGGGAAAGAAAGACAAGTATTCTGATGTACAGAGGACAACCATATATGTGAAACTAGTTTAAACATAAGGTACCTGGGGACCTCAACCGTACGCAGTTATGGAATCATGGTCTAACCCAGTACATGTGAAAAGTGCATCGGTGGTTTTCACAATACTTAACAATGTCAGTTAAAGTTAAAGAACAATTTGCAATTTGCAAAGTTGGGTATTTTAACTTTCAATGGGTGTTACTTTTTTCTTCCATGGCAATCCAGAAGATGATTTAACTCCATAACCAGATTAATTTTTTGTGAATAAAATAATTCTGTTGCATTAGGCTTAGTGTATTAAAATATGCATAAAGCACAACCATTTTTCTCCAGTTTTGCTCTTTTTTTCTTTAGCAATGTATGATATATAAATGACCACCTTGCCACACGTATGATGAGTAGATATGAGAATAACACTGGCACAACTTGTGGAGCAAATGGCTATTGCATCAATGTATGTGCAAAGAGGAGCTGAATTATTTGTGATCTATGGATCAAGCTGTAAAAAAATAAAGTGAGATAAACGGATAGACAGATACACACATAGACAGACAGAAATCTCATTGGGAGAAAAGCATTTAAAAGTGTATTGAGGAAACTCCTTCCTTTGTTGTCACTTTTATAGTATTTGGGGTCATTGACAACCATGATCATGTGATCAGAATTTCACCTTTTTTTAAATGTGTGTGACATTTTGATAGCATGATTATGGCTGAGACCTTGACTTTTTTGCCATCCCCTGGTGGTACCTTAAACAACAATATGCCAAATTATTACAGTTAAACACAGTGATAGACTGTAATCTAATTTACCAATAACCAAGGGCACACATATCAAACTAAATTCCAGAGTGAGAACACAAGGGTAGATGGGAATTTTGGGGTTAGCCCATTTATGAAATTATTTTGGCAGACATTGCTTGACACTTACTATAAAAACTTTATATATATTTGCTTATATAATATAAGCAAGCAACAAATATCTTGCAAAAGCCAATGCAAAGTAAAAATACTTCCCCCATAATAGCCAACAATCTGCTTCCACTCCTGAAATGTTCTCCCTCTCTTGCTATCAGTTTTCCAACAGTTTGGAGGCAGAAGACGTGACTAATGTTTGGGAGCCAGCAAAAGCCCTTATTATCACCTACATGGTAATCCTGCTTTGCAAGATGGGATTTTTGCAAATTGCTGTGATGTCTCCCAGGTTCTCCAGTTTACAGATCTCAAGCCAAAATTGTCAAGGCCCCCAACATTTGACAGAGGAAAGTGTGCATGCTTTGCTTTGCCAAGCGTGAATAAACAAAGATACGGAAGTAAGAGGAACAAGCAAACGGCTTGCTTGGAGTTTGTTAGAATGCCCAACTAAAGAAGATTTCAAAGATAGCTGCCCAACCCTTTGGAAATTAAGCAACCTGACTGGTCTTGTATCATCCAGTCAATCCAATTATCTCCTCTAGTTTACTAGCTGCTCTATCAGTAGCCTTGCTGTGCCTGAGGGCAATTCTGAAGTCATCTGCCCTAAAGCTGAAGTTTTAAACAGACTTGCGACATCATGGGATTTTCCAGGTCTCTCAGAACTCTTTTCATGCAGTTGCTGATTTTGGCCAATCAGGGACAAGCAAATGGGAATGAGATATGAAGAAGCAGCAACTCCAGGCTAGCAGAAATGATATGCTGAAACAGAATGAGCAGAGCCAGAGAGAAGAACAGACAAAAAGAAAGAAAGAAAGGAATAGGCAGGTAGCAATATTTCCACTTTGGAATATACTTGATTTATTTGGAGGCACCACCATGGCTTTCACGTTCTTTCCATTCATATAAAATGACTGTAAACAGGCAGATGCATAATTTCAAGGCCTGCAGATCCCAAGGAATCCTAAAGATTATTATCAAATTTTAGGAGACCTTGGTGTTTTCTGAGCTTGGTTGTTTTCTTGCAGACATTTCATTACCCAGACAAGATCATTGCTAGCATCTTACCCCTCATTTCAACCCTGAGCTACAAATAGTCCCCTTTATTGATACCCAATTTTAATTCTCAATAGTGTAAAACAGAAGGGAAGAATTATTACATATATGTTTACTCCCCAGTCAATTTTAAGGTGAAGTCACTTTCAAGCTGCAGTTGGCTTCATGTGACTTTACAGACCTCCTTATATCATTTTCTTAAGTTCCTTTCAGGGACAGAGGATTTTTCATCACAGCTGCCCTAAAATGCTTCATAACAGAACAGTTGCACAATTATGACATGGTGTACAATTGAGCCCCTGTGTTAACTTTGAACTTTGAAAAAGTACAGACTGGCTCTTTTCTTGACTCCCAGGCAGGTCTATAACATAGCTCTGAGGTTAGAAAGAGACCAAGCTGCCCAGAATCACAGTCCTAGCCTACTATTTACTTTTTCCTTCTAGCTCAAGATTAGTAAGCTCATTCATTTTAAGATTTAGTTTAA